CAGGTGTCGATATGTATACTTATTTGTTCATTGGTAACACTAGAGGTAATACGATTACTTAGACAAAGGATTCAACCTTTGAAAGGTTTCCTCTAAACTCTACGGCTTCAAAGCATTGCTTGCACTTTGCTGTGGTATCACTAACTTTGAAAAAAATAATCCACACTTTAGATTTTGGCGGTGTCATTGCTTAAAGCAATTATTTTTCATAAAAACGACGCTGTGCAAAGTTTCTTCCATAAAAAAAATATGGCCGACAAGATATGGCACTTGCTCAACTCGATTCGATATAAGTACTTTTCTTTCGATACTAAGTAGCTATCGAAACAACGATTTGAGTAAAAAAAGTAGTTGGTATCGAAACAAAAGTATCGAGTACATACTCGTATTTACTTGTATCGGAACATCCCTATACACACATAACAACGCATATACATACCCTCCGATACATACCGACAACGTACAAACGAAGCATACACACTCTACTGCACATATATACACCGCCGTACATACGCAACAATGTACATATGCACTCTTCGGCACACTCATACAGCATCAGGCAAAACACTGCTAGCAGCATACCAACGACTTCGTTCGCCAGCTACCATCGGGACAGAGCACACGACGAATTCTCATACCAAATAAGCTGAACAAGTGCGCAGTCGAGTCAGTCTCGCTAGGTAAGCGTTGGGCTTGACTAGTCGGTTGGCGCGTAGTGGTATGTCTTCGGACGGACCAAATCGTCTCTGACTAGTTAACCCAAACATTGCTTGACCAGCCGGTTGGCGTCTAGTGGTGTGTCTTCGGACGCACTAAATCTTCTCCGGCTGGTTAATCCAAGCACGGCTCGACCAATCGGTTGGCGCCTAGTGGTGTGTTTTCGGACGCACTAAATCGTCTCCGGCTGGCCGAGCCGCGGTTACCGCCGCCCCCATTCCAGCCCCTACTCACGTAGTGTGCAATTATGGGAGCGGCGGTACCTGACGAGTCTTGCTAGGTCGCTCCGCTCCATCGGTTGCCGAGTAACAGTACGAACCATCCGTTGCTATTAGGAGTCATCCGTTGCTATTAGAAGTCTCATCGTCATCCACTCCGACCCGACCGCCCGACAACAACGAACGTTACCTCGCACTCTCTCGCTCTCCCTCTTTCGCTCTCTTTGCACATAAGGTTGCTGGCACTCTAGTCATAGCGCCGTGTGTGTGTGTGTTCGAGGTAAATACACGGAAATAGTGTGTTTTATTTGGTGGGGGTTAGTGGGACCTTCGCTGGACTCTGGATCGGCTGAGCTGACCTCAGGCTTCGACAAAACCCACCTCATAAATGGCGCCCGAGCAGGGACCCAGCTCTGCAGGCGCATGTGCAAAAAACTTAACAAGCACCAACACTGCGGAAGCGGGCTCGCCGAACACACCACAACCAACAGATGACACACGCGCCAGCGAGAGTAACACCAATACGCTGAACGTCGACTCCCTCAGCTGGATATATCTGCTAAAGAAGGAGAAGTTAATAGAGGAGTGCAAGCGGCACCGAATTTTCGTAGAGGGATATACAGTCGCCGAATTGCGCAACGCGCTTAGCGCATATGTGAAAGCGAAGCGACATCGCAAATCAACAGAGGATTTATTAAGAGATTTGGAAGAGGAAATTAAATCAGAAGAGGAGAGACCAGTAAAGCTGCAACCCAGCACCATTCCCACCGTCCGGATCGACAACTATAGTCCACCGCCACAGGAGATGAAGCCTGCAACAAAGCGTGGCGAGATCAGCGACGCCGAGCTAATGAATACCGTTCGCCGATGGGACGAACATTTTTCGGGAGGCGACGCGCTACACGACTTCTTGGAGAGGATCGAAGAGCTAGCCGAATGCTACCGCATCCCACTGGACAACCCCCTCCCAACCCTACCTGAAGTGTTACACGGGAAGGCCCTACAATGGTTCCGCGTGCGAAAACCACAGATACATTCGTGGGCAGCATTCTGTTCAAAAATAGAACGGTTATTCCTCCCACGGCGACACATGAGTCAGCTTGAAGATGCCATCCGGCAGCGACGCCAACAAAACCGAGAGAAGGCCAAGGATTATATCTTGGCACTACAAACGCTTATACGCCAACACCCGACTATATGTGGGGAGGACCACCTGGAACGCATCTACGATGGCCTACGTGTGGAGTATCGTCTCTTCGTCAACCGAGGGGAGTTTAAAGCAATCGAGGAACTGATGGATCTCACCGACGAATTTGAGCTTCTGAAAGGCGAAGAGGCCAGAAACAGCAGACAAGCAGCACACAGCCTAACTCCCCTAGAAGAAAGGTACAGCCGAGAGGTATCCTGCTGGCATTGCAAAGGGCGCGGGCACCTCCGCTTCCGATGCCGAAGGACGAAAAAACTGTTCTGCTCTAGTTGCGGTCGAGATAACGTCCTCTCCCGGGATTGTCCGTGCAACACTGCCACAGTTAAGCCGCCCCGCAAAATACGCAGCAACGGAACAGTTCCGATCGCCGCCGTCCCTGTGGACACTAACACCCAACAAGGAGGCAAAGTAGATGGTCGCTACTACATCAATGTGAGCGTAGAAGGTATGAGCGTACGGGCACTATTGGACACGGCGCAACGCTCGACAAGTCCATACGTCAACACCTTGAAGAGAGGAAAATCCAGCATTGACCTAATCACCGAAATGTACAACTGGCCGATCAAACCTGCGTCTCCAGCTTGTACACTTACCCTGTAAGGATAATGTACAACGAGCGAGCAACAACCACCCTGGCTTCGGCACTCCCAAATCTCGCCGAACGCATGATCCTGGGGATGGATTTCCTTAGGGACAGAGGGGCCATCCTCACCCTGGATGGACAACCACTGCCTGCACCTACCCCACGGACGACGGATGTACCCGCCCAGCTGCACACATTAACCGAGAGAGAACATCTGAACGGAGAACAGAAGAAGCAGCTGGCCGAATTCCTGGCACACCACCAGCAGACCTTCAGCAGAATTACCGGACCTAGCACCGCCGCTGAGCATGTGATCACCCTTAAGCACAACCGGCCGCTGAAACAGCGTTACTACCCCCGCAATCCGGCCATGCAACAGGTGATCAATGCTGAAGTCGATGAGTTACTGGCGGCTAAGCGGATCGAACCATCAAAGAGCGCGTACAGCTCGCCGATTGTCCTGGTTCGTAAGAAGCAAGGAAGCTGGAGGATGTGCATAGACTACCGCCAGCTCAACGCCGCCAGCGAACAAGACGCATACCCGCTGCCCCAGTGGCTACAGGCAGATACACCTAGCCAAAGGATCACGGCCGTACACCGCCTTCACCGTCCCAGGGAGAGGGCTGTTTCAGTGGAGAGTCATGCCGTTCGGGTTACACTCCGCGCCAGTGACATTCCAGCGCGCCCTCGACGCGATCCTCGGCCCGAACTACAGCCGAAAGTATTCGCGTATCTAGACGACATAATCATCCTAGGAGACACCTTCGAGGAACACATGAGCAATCTACGCGAGGTGTTCGAACGACTCCAAGGGAAGAGGATGCAGGTGAACTTCGATAAATGTAGCTTTGCGCAACAGAAGCTCCACTACCTCGTCCACATTGTTAGCTCAGAGGGAATACACACTGATCCTGCTAAAATATCCGCCGTACGAGAGATACCAGCGCCTCAGAATATCCGAGAGTTTCGTCGATTCCTCGGTCTCGCATCATGGTACCGTCGTTTCGTCGCCGATTTCTCCACAGTTGCAGCACCACTCAACCAACTGCTGAAGAAAGGCTGGGTATGGGACGCACCACAAGCTAACGCATTCCTTGCACTAAAACAGAATCTGACGACCGCGCCAGTACTCTGCTGCCCCGACTTCAACCGCCTCTTCTTCTTCCAAACCGATGCCAGCGGAGAAGGGCTCAGAGTGGTCCAGTTTCAACGTCACTCCGACCACGAGATAGTCCTAGCGTATGCCAGCCGAAGCCTGAACGACCTGGAGAAGCGTTATTCAGAGACCGAACAGGAGTGCCTCGCCGTGCTATGGGGAATCCGCAAGATGAGACCGTACCTAGAAGGATACCACTTCACAGTAATCACCGACCACCACTCATTGAAGTGGCTACACTCACTGCAGAACCCATCCGGACGACTGGCGAGGTGGGCGCTCGAACTCCAACAGTATAATTTTGACATCGTATATCGAAAGGGAGCGTTGAACGTAGTAGCAGACGCACTCTCTCGATGTCCCCTGACAACAACCGATGATGGAGCAGACGCAATGTACACCGTGGAAACCAGCACCAGCGAGTGGTACGAGAGAAAACTGAGGACAGTACAGCAACAGCCTAGCCGCAACCCGGACTACCAAATCATCGACAATAGATTGTTCCGCCACATCGCGCCGCGCAACAACAAGCTCTCCCGTGCGCCTCAATGGAAGCTCTGCATCCCCACCAGTCGCAGACTAGATATCCTGCAAGAGGTGCATGACGCCGCAGCAGCCGGACACCTAGGCGTCAAGAATACTTTCAAACGAGCACAGCAGAACTACTACTGGCCTGGGATGTACCGTTACGTACTCAAGCATGTACGAAGGTGCCTGTCCTGCGCCGAGTACAAGGTGGAACAAAGACGACCAGCAGGATTAATGGCCACCATGTAGTGCTCGCGACCATGGGAAGTCGTCACGGCCGACTTTGTCGAACCGCTTCCACGCTCCAAACAAGGAAACACGTGCCTCCTCGTCCTGGTCGATAAATTCTCTAAATGGGTTGAGTTAATTCCCGTGCGCCAAGCCACCACCGCCAACGTCATCAAAGCACTCCAGGAGAGAATCATTTACCGGTTTGGCTGCCCAGCCATCTTTCTCAGCGACAACGGAAAGCAGTTTGTGGGGAAAGCCTTAGCGGAATTTCTCAGCCAGCATCGCATAGAGCACAAATTCACCGCAGCCTACGCCCCTCATGAAAACCCGACCGAGCGAACCAATCGGGTAGTTAAAACCATGATAGCACAGCGTTCAAGGACAGATCATCGCACCTGGGATCAGGAGCTCCCCCAGATCGCCTTTTCCATCAACACGGCCCAACACGAATCAACGCGAGCTTCCGCCGCGGAGATCAACTTCGAACGCAATCCCGCGGCACCATGGCAGATACGCACCGAAGGGGCAGTACCAGAAGAACACCCCACGGCATCCCCAGCCATCACCGAGCTATGGGCAGAGATAAAGGGGCACCTCGCCGTGGCGGCCAAACAGCAGAAAAAGTACTACGACCTACCCAGACGGCCGTGGAAACCTAGAGTAGGAGAGAAGGTATTGAAGCGAGATCACCCTCTCTCCTCGGCTGCCGACAACTATGCTCAGAAGCTCGCGCCGAAATTCTCAGGCCCATATACGATCACCAAGTACATCTCCACCAACACGGTGAAACTCGTAAACCCCGAGCGGCCCGACAAACAACCAACGCACGCGCACCTGCAGGACTTGAAGCCGTTCAACGCATAACAACCGAAACCCGTTCTCCATCTTATCATTTGAGATTATCCCGCCAGTCACGTCAGATACACCACAGTGATGAGTCGCAGAAACCGTCACCCAGCTCCGCCGGATGAACCGCAACGCATCCAACCATGGCGTCCGCCATTCGAAAGCGTACCCTGGCCACTACAAAGCCAGGATTCGGCGGGTCCCGAACTTTCGGGGGCCACCACTCCTGGCAGCAGCCGCAGCACCGAACGAACCTCTTGGCGCAATTACAGAAGCACCCGCCAACAACGAGCGACCACCCAGCCCTGCCGGGCCACGATCACCCGATTGCAAACCAAGCGTCGTAGACACGGCGACAGGTGGACCGCCAAATAGTGGGGACACCGCCGAAAATAGCTGCATCCCCGTCGATGAAGTTAACCCCCCAGACGCGCATGACCACGCGCTAGCTCTACTCGACGCAGAAAGAAAAGACTTCGCCGATAATTTTCGACTAAAACAAGGCATCCGCCGTGCTGCTAGCGCTCTCATCGTCATCCACTCCGACCCGACCGCCCGACAACAACGAACGTTACCTCGCACTCTCTCGCTCTCCCTCTCTTTGGACATAAGATTGCTGGCACTCTAGTCATAGCGCTGTGTGTGTGTGTGTGTGTTCGAGGTAAATACACGGAAATAGTGTGTTTTATTTGGTGGGGGCTAGTGGGACCTTCGCTGGACTCTGGATCGGCTGAGCTCACCTCAGCCTTCGACAAAACCCACCTCATAATACATAAGCCTCTAAGGCGTATGTTAAGGCCTTACGTAACTCCCAAATAGATTAGGCTTCTAGGGTTAAGAAAGCTTTAGTTTGAAAGTGTGATATTAGCTGCGTTTCACCATAAACGGCGCAAATTTTCAATGATTATTGCGTTTCAGATTAAGACTAATACCAGATATTGTGAAAGGTTGGACTTTACCTTAAAGATGACGGTTTTCTCTTGGCCTACTGCACGAAGCTTAGAGTAGAGTAACGTCTTTTAAGAACTTAAAAATTATCCTGGGTTATCAGGTGTCTAGCAATATATAGTGTTGTTCTGATACGACCTTGAACTCGATACCTGTACTCTTTAAAAATATTGAAGAATATTATCGATGCCACAAATGTATCGGAGAGAAGTACTCGATACTTACTCATATCGAACTCATTGTAAGTACTTATGTCATGTGAAGAAAAACAGAATCGGTTCGAGTACTCGCCGACCAAACTTACCGAAAAAGTAGCCAAAAATCTGTATCTCGCAAAATTTTAATAATTGACTAGTACGGGAAAGCAGGAATTGATACTTTCTTTATTAGCCAACTTAAAGTGGTGCAAAAACCACAACAGCATGATTCATATATTGTCAGAACCGTAATCAGAATTTTTGGAAAAGCAAGAAATACTTTAATCGCGTATTCGATACCCACCTAAGTACTTGCCGGAAGGATTCTAGTACAAAAAGTACTCAGTACTTGAAGAAAGTATCGAGTAATTACTTGTAGTTACTCGTATCGGAACAACACTAGCAATACAAGATTAATTGTTGTCTTTCACGAAGTACTTTAAATAAATTTTGAGCTAAGTACTCACCCGTATTTCGGGAGTTACTACAAGATTTAATAAATTGTTACTTTAATTTCCTATAAACTTAACCTTTAGGTTTATGCATTTTAAGAATACATCGAAAATTTATTTTAGAGAACCAATGTGAAATAATTGCAGAAACGATTAACCGGTTTGCTGAGCAACCGAGACGTCTGCTTTTTAAATAATTTTTGTAAAACAAATCGGCAAGTACATATCATCCCCGCATACCAGAAACATGAATGTGTAAAGATGACAATTTTGAAATTTATTATATGTCGGCCCTAGCCCTCCACCCCCACCCACTCTAAATTCGATCCTGGCGACGCCCATGTATGTAAATGTGGGAAAATTTATGTAAACAAAGAATAGAGGCCGGCCCACATACCTGCAACTTTGGCGTTGCGTATGCCGTTAAAGTATGCATTCTACAATGAAGCTTGGCAGAGAATGCTTCGGCCAATAAATTAACATATTAACGACAGATAAATTAATATTTCATACCAATAATTGCATGAAAAATGATACTTATTGCTCCCGTTTGGAAAAAAGGAAAAAATATTTCACATAATTTTATTTATTTGCAACAGCTGAGACCGACGCACGCGATATTTCTGCTTTGTGTTGGAGTTACCGATGCCAAATTTTGGCTACATAACTGCTACAAGTAGCAAACTATTTTGGGGGTGTTAAATTGTTTAGTTGTTTTTTGTTTCTTGTTTCTGCGGCACAAACGATTATACTACCCTCTTTACTTATTTTTCTCTGTAAAGACAAAATACATGCATAGGTACATACCCAACGGGGCCAGAAGCGCTCCATTAGTGCTATTGGAGCGCCGCATATTCAGCAGTGAGCGCTCCCTTCCTAATTTCACACTTCATTGTATTTTAACATAGGGTGTCATTAGAAAGGAGCGCTCCCTTGCCGCTCCCAAAGAAGCCCTTGGTGAACGCTTCAACTAAAGCATTTAAAAAGCGATGCATGTAAATTTTAATTTTCATATTATATCTTTGTTTTAATAAAAAAATGGCGTTTTTGAAACCAGTTGGAAGCTTTATTAAGTGTACTTATTGTTTTTCTTTTCTTTGTGGTATACATACGAAAATATATATACACATACATACATGTTTGTACATAAATTAACTATTTTTCAAAAGAAAATATTTTATTTTGCTACTCAAAATCAAGGCATATTAAACAAGGTAGAAGTGATTTTGACATTTCTCTCTTTTGAACACCCAAGGCACATAAATACAGGTAGAAGCCAAAATGACGTTGCTCACATGAGAACCAAACCTTTAAACTTCAACTTGATTTTATTTTATTTCCTATATTTCGTTACGCCTTGAATGTCATATCGTTGTTTTTTTTTTTGAATGTTCGTTAATAACAAATTTTAATTAACATTGGAATTTTTGTAGTGTTGTGCGGTTTATACTTAGTGTATGTGTTAAAAATGCAGCACCCGAAGCGTTGTTTTTTATGTGATGTTAAATATAAAGCAGACACCACTAATTTTTTTAACGTGCCTCAATGTCCTTCGCGTAAGGAGCGTTGCGGAAGCAGCTGTGGGGCAGAGCTGCAGCGAAATGCCCTGCTGTGCGTTAAACATTTTAAAGGAGCAGATTTCACAAATACACCGGGAGGTACAGGAAAAGCATATTTGATGCCAAGTGCCGTTCCTATGACCCTTATGCCAAAAAGTCCCTCCAATAACACTGCAACTCATAAATCAAAAAAAGAAAACAATATACAAGTTCACAAATTTTAACTAAAGAAAATAAATAAATAAAAATCAAATTGAATTCGAGTTTACTTAAAAACGTCAACCAGTGAAATACAATTTTTTTATTTTTCTTACACACGCTAATTTTTATTTTTACTCTCCCGAAAACTTTGACTTTTGTAGGTTTGACGTCAAATTGGCTTCTACCAGTTTTTTTTTGAACCATGTTGAACACCGACTATAATGTCAAATAATGAATAACTTTTAACTCTTTTCAAGTTGGCATTTTCTAATTTTCATTAAAAATTCAATTGTGCTTTGAGATAGTTTTGAATTGTGTAAACTTTTTTTTTGTTTTTCGACCACATGCATTTATAGATACATACAGATACAAAAATGAAAAGGAGCAGGAACTACGAGCGTTGCATTGTGTGGAAAGTGGTGCGATATTTTAAGGCGCCTAGTTGCGAAGTTAGAAGACTTGGTTGCTTGAAGCCACGGAATTTCAGAACTGAGTAAGAGAATTTTCTTACAATATTATTCACACATAACCGCGTCAGGACGTAGATTTACACTAGAGGTGTCAAACTATCGATAGTCACACCATCGATAGTTTTGATAGTTTTCAGAAAAACTATCAATATTCACGATAGTCTCGAAAAACACAAAACTATCGATAGCACTATCGATAGCGCTTGGTCGTCTAGTGGATATAACAAAAGCCGCTCGAAGGACCATGAATAACTCAGTGAGAGGGGAGACCAGTAGAGGTGCAAAACTATCGATAACACTATCGATAGTATCGATGGTTTTTATTTTTCCCTACCATCGATTGTTTTTATTTTAGTTTTATTTCTTCTTTTCTTTTCATTTCTCTTAAATATACAAGTTGAACTAAAAATTTGGTTGCTACTTTTTTAAAAGAGTAATGTCAAATTTCGAAAGTGACGGAAAACCTTGCATCTTTTAAAATACCGCTAAAAAACTGATACAAATTAATTTATACCAAAACTTTCAATATTATCTACGCACCACTATTTACTATTTAAGAAAAGGTAAATAAAAACCATTACTTCTCAGATAAAAAATGGTTTCTTCTTCTAAAATTTAAATTTACTTGATGAATGCCTTATATATGACGGAGGATATCTAAAGCCACAAATATAAAATTTCAGTATGCCTAATTTTTTTCCATTTCAATTCATTTCAAATTTTCAATAACTTTACTTCTAACTCAACGGTTAAACAATTAAAAAAAGTGTACAGCAGTTTACAAGAATATCCAAACGTAGTTTCGAAATATATTCGTAAGGAAATCTTCCTACGAAAATTGAGCCAAAACCATATAAATACGATACTATCGACGATATATCGATAGTTTTGAAAATAATATCGAAAACTATCGATAGTTTTGCACCTCTAGAGACCAGTATGTTAGCATGTATGTGTTTATATAAAAAAATATTCATGGGTTCAGAAATGGTGGGTAGGCACTGTGGCCAATGGCAAAGTTCGTTTGCCACCTCTGCATGGTCGTAAGTCATGCAGAGTCCGCAGAATGCTCCGGAAGCAGTGTCCGGAGGATGCATCAGACTAGGCCGAGCATACTTTGAAGTGTCATCTAATTAAAGCTTAAGAAAGTTCAATTATATGGCAGTTTAGAAGTGCAGGTGCAAACATTTC